AAAAAATAAAATTTTAACTAATTTAATAATATTAATTGTAATAATAACTACATCCATAGTCACAAATATTTGTAAGACCAAATAAATATATTATAAATATATTTAATTTGATTATCAAAAATAATTATTGCTAATGGAACAATTTACATTTATTGCTTAACGATTTAAAATAAGTCAAGCATCAAAATCTGGAGTAGAATTGAAGTTTATCAATATAATTCAGTTTGCAATACTCCTCCGCGAGCCAAGCCTAAGAGGGCTAACTCAATAAAAGAGATTACTCAACCATTTAGGTCAGATTTGCTCTTTTAGTTTTTGTTTCAATGTCTTCCCAGTTACAAGAAATTGCTTTTGCTCCCTCACCAAACCAATTATCTTTCATAGTGGAGACAGACAACACAAGGTTCAAGTGGCCATCATAGTTGTTTGGGTAGCTTCACAAGATCTAGTTGACACAAGCTGACCAGCATAGAGACCTGCAAAACAGACCCGAGGGTTGTGCCTCGGGGTAGACACTCCGACGCCCAAGTTAGCAATATTCTATACTTGGGGCTCTTTTTAGAGAGAGAAATATAATAGAGAGAGAAGAGCACTCAGAAAAGTCCCTTACCTTTAAGGGGTGTGAGAGTATTTATAGATCCCTTGGAAGTGTTTTACACGTGTTGCACTTCTATTGGTCCCTTTGGATCCATTTCAATGTATATGAGCTCCATTGTGACTCATGGATGTGCTCATTTATATTTGGGCCTTATGGGCCTTTATTTTGTTTATGGGCTAGTTAGATTACTATCCCAACATTACTCCCCCTCCAAGTGATTTCTAAGCTTGCTGAAAAATCACAATGGTTCAACTTCTTGCTTTTATAGGTTGTAGAGGGGTTTGATTTATTCTTGAGGAATCTGGCTTGGAAACCTTGATTTGAGATTTCCAACCTGTAAGCTGAGAGTGACGACCTGAAACCAGAGAGCTCAAATTGACGACCTGGAAGCAGGAAAATGATGAGTGACGACCTGGAAACCCAAGAAGTTGAGGAATGACGACCTGGAAGCAGGAAGCTTAGGAGTGACGACCTGAAACCAGGAAGCTCAGGAGTGACGACCTGGAAGCAGGAAGCTCAAGAGTGACGACCTGAAACCAGGAAGCTCAGGAGTGACGACTTGAAACCAGGAAGCTCAGCAGGGACGACCTGAAACCAGGAAGCTTAGGAGTGATGACCTGGAACCAGGAAGCTCAGGAGAGACGACCTAGAACCAGGAAGATGAGCAGTGACGACTTGGAACCAGGAAGCTGAGCAGTGACGACCTGGAACCAAAAAGCTCAAGAGTGACGACCTGGAAGCAGGAAGCTCAACAGTGACGACCTGAAACCAGGAAGCTCAAGGGGACGACCTGGAACCAGGAAGCTCAGGAGTGACAACCTGGAACCAAGAAGCTGAGCAGTGACGACCTGGAACCAGAAAGCTCAGGAGTGACGACTTGAAACCAGGAAGCTCAGGAGTGACGACCTGGAAGCAGGAAGCTCAAGAGTGACAACTTGGAAAACCAGGAAACTGATGAGTGACGACTTGGAAAACTAGGAAACTAATGAGTGACGACCTGGAAAACCAAGAAACTGATGAGTGACGACCTGGAAAACCAGGAAGCTGAGGAATGACGACCTGGAAGCAGGAAGTTCAGGAGTGACGACCTGAAACCAGGAAGCTCAGGAGTGACGACCTGGAAAACCAGGAAGCTGAGGAATGACGACTTGGAAACAGGAAGCTCAGGAGCAAATGATGGAGAAAGAATCTAGCCACTCATAAATAAAGCTGGAGAAGGAATTTACTTGATCATTTTTAGGAGCTTTGAGCTTTGTGAGTGGAGCATTTCAACTCAAATTTTCTATTGAAGCTCGCCCATGTTGGGTTTCAACTCATAATTCTTCATAGGAGTTTACCCATGTAGGGTCTCAGCTTGTTCTATGAGGTTGTAACTCTTTGCTGGACCTATCAGGTTAGAGTATTCAGGATTATCTGGAGCTAACCCATTTAGGATTTCAACTTGTAATTTTGTGAGAGCCTACCCATGTAGGGTCTTAGCTGTAATTCTTTGTGGGAGCCCACTCATGTAAGGTCTTAGCTCGTAATTCTTTATCTAAGCTTTCTTAGCTCGTCGTTCTTCATTGGATGTTGTCAGCTCGTCATTCTTTTTGGGGCTCTGTGAGCTCGTAAATCTTTGTTGACGTTGTGTGAGCTCGTAATTCTTTGTTAGAGCTCTATCAACTTGTCATTCTTTATTGGAGCTTTATGAGCTCGTCATTCTTCATCGGAGCTTTATGAGCTCGTCATTCTTCATCAGAGCTTGTGAGCTCGTCATTCTTTGTGTGGAGCTTTGTGAGCTCATCATTCTTCATTGGAGTTCTGTGAGCTCGTCATTCTTTATTGGAGTTCTGTGAGCTCGTCATTCTTTGTTAGAGTTTTGTCAGCTCGTCACTCTTCATCGAAGCTCTGTGAGCTCGTCATGCTATGTTTGAGCTTTGTCAGCTCATCATGCTATGTTGGAGCTTTGCCAGCTCGTCATTCTCTGTTGGAGCTTTATCAGCTCATCATGCTGTGTTGGAGCTTTTTCAGCACGTCACTCTTCATCTAAGCTCTGTGAGCTCGTCATGCTATGTTTGAGCTTTGTCAGCTCGTCATGCTATGTTGGAGCTTTGTCAGATCGTCATGCTATGTTGGAGCTTTGTCAGCTCGTCATGCTTTGTTGGAGCTTTGTGAGCTCATCATGCTTTGTTGGAGCTCTGTCAGCTCGTCATGATCTGTTGGAGCTCTGTCAGCTCGTCATTCTTCAACGGAGCTTTGTCAGCTCGTCATTCTTCAACAGAGCTCTGTCAGCTCGTCATGCTTTGTTGGAGCTTTGTGAGCTCGTCATGCTTTGTTGGAGCTCTGTCAGCTCGTCATTCTCTGTTAGAGCTCTGTTAGCTCGTCATGCTTTGTTGGAGCTCTGTCAGCTCGTCATTCTTTTTGAAAGGCTCACCAAATAAAGATTTGGATCTTGCCTAACCCAAGTGGAGATTTGGCTCTTGCACAACCCTGCTCATTTATTGATGGGGCCTTCAAGTGGTAGATAAAACTCTGATGTAAGAGCTCAC